AAGCTAGAGAAAGAGATCTTGCAACATTATTTTAGTTGGAAGTACACATTGCATACGGGGGGAGGAGTAAAACATTCAGCCTCCACTAAAATCAGTTTGATTCCCAGGAAATAGGACTCGCTTGGAGTCCAGAATATAATTCTGCTTTTTGAATTTGAATAGTGCTTCACACTTTTTTTTCCACGCAATGTGTTCTCGGAAAGTTGTAAAACATGCCCTTTGAACATGCTAAATCTTGTTTGTGAAAATATCTTGGCCCTTGCCCTACCCTAACTGCTATTTTCAGCAAACATCCAACAGTTGCAGTCAAAATTGGGTCTCATTGTGCATGACACTCATCTCCTCTTGCTTCCAAAACTGTGTCACCTGGATTCTCTAGTTTTAACATCATAGTAAGCCATTCTGGCAATGGATACACAAATCGTTGCAATTTACTCATAATACTTCTCATATCTTTTGGAAAGTATTGGTTTTTTTTTTTAAAAAAAAGCTGTGATGTTTTGCCTGTGTAATCCAGGGCCTTGTGGATGTGCAGAATGGGATTAGAAAATTTAAGAGTAGTGAGATGAAAACAAACTGAGAAAAGTGGCTATAAATCAGATCCTTTTTGATACTTGGAGAGGTCCAGGGTGGAATGAACTCTGCAACCTTCCTCCTTTCTGCTGTCCGTGTCAATGTGAATTTTTCTCCATTGTTTTTTGTCCAGTGAGGGGAAATTTCCAAAAATGAAATGTCTCTTGGATTTATGTTATGGCCCAGCAGGAGCCGTTGGAGCTGCCACAAGACTCCAACAGTGAGGGGCCCTATGAGTCAGCTCTGGAGGATGTGGAGGACCCTNAAAAAATGGACAAGTTATTTGTTTATAGTTAGTTATAGTTAGTCATTTAGGCTATTTTCACATTCAGATTAGCAATATAGCAGTTGCTTTGGTCTATGTAAAGTCACATTACTTCTTACCCATATAATCAAATAAATGTTTGGACTTTTCCTATTTAACTAAGCTGTATTTTTGTATAAAATTAAGGGTTGTTCAAAGCTCTAAAGAGGTACTTTATCTGAAGCAACCTCTCTCCCTCCCCTCCCCCACTTTCTAATACTGAAACACCTCTATTACTCTATGGTGCTACAAGCTCTCTTCCTGCTGTTACACTAGCTGGAAGTAGCTTCAGTGCAGGTGCTACTATAACTGCCAGTTAGGCCTTAAAGCAACATTATCACCTTCCTAGTGCATATCATATTACATCCACCATGCAAATCATACTGTAAAGCATGAATAACTAGCACAGCCTTAAATAAATAAACATCCATGCATGCACACCAATACGACAATGATATTTTCTTACAACTGTAGTGGACAACTACTGTGTTGTATTACTTAATTTTCTAAAGGAAATACTGAAAATATATAAAACTAACTAAGATGCAGCCTGTAATTCAAGGTTTTTTTAAAAGCTCCCAAATCAAAAAGTCATGAAAATTGTAACGGTTGCAATACTATTGAAACAGATTTTAGTTTACCCTTAGGCTTGGAATGCCATTGGAAATCTACTCTTAGCCCCAACATTGAAAATTTGAATAATAATTATCCAGCAATCCACACTGGGCCATCATGGTACCTTATGAATGATAATCTTCACAAAGATTTCGTGTATAAACATGATGAATAAATATATACTATGGTAGATAGATTCAAGTTGCTGCTGGTAATAAATGTATGTATATAAATATAAAATAACATATAACTAACACTAGCTGCAAATTCTGATTGTCAATACATATCTATTGTGGCCTGGCAGGAGCCGTTGGAGCTGCCACCAGACTACGACAGCGAGGGCCCTATGAGTTGGCCCTGGAGGATGTGGGGGACCTTGGACAGGGTTCCGACTCCGAGCAGAGTGCAGAGAGACTGGTTGGCCCCAGGTAGCGCTTGAGCCTTGGATCNAACCACTTAGAGAAGGCTGAAAGCCCTATGAAGCGGTATATAAGTCTAACTGCTATTGCTATTGCTAGGTGTTTTCCTTCAGGGAAACTGCTGGATTGAGGGGGGCGGCCCCCCAAACTCTGGTCCTTATTTTGGGTTGGGGACTTTTTTCTCGCTTGCCTAAATCAGGGATACTTTAAACCATGTGGAGGTGGTGGGGCCCCAAGATCCACAAGGGAGTGGGGGGGGGGGTTGGAAAGATATTCTCGGCAGGACACCATTGAGGTAGAGGAGGCCTGAGGGAGAGGAGAGGCCCAGAGGGTGGCCTAATTCAGAGAGCAGGATTGGTCCCTGAGGAGCTCTGGGGATCCCTGAGGGCGGTGCTTCCCTCTGGGGGTGCCTCCTTCTCATCCTCTCAGCCAGTAAATAGGCTCCCAACCCCTCTCAGGACCGCCGTTTCCTGCTGAGAGAAGTGAACTGGGAGGGGTATGGACAGAAGAGAAGGGGAGAAGTCTCACACTCCCACCTCCCTTGCCCAGCAGCCTTTTGTCCAACATCTCCCTTAGGGATTTCAGTCCCTCCTACCCACCCCACCAACATCAATGTTCTCCCACCACTCCCTCCTTACTGATTGGGGCTCCTTATCCCCTTCTAGGGACCCTGGATAGCACTCCCACCAGTAGCAACAGGGGACCTCAACATAGCCCATGGATGCCCCCCCCAAGAGAGGAGACATCTAGAGGCTGCCAACCTCAGAAGTGGAATTGGGTGGGTGGGGTCAGGCCAGGGTGGGTACTTTGGAGAAAACATGGGAATCTTCCCTCCTACGATTCATCTGTTTCTGGAGGTCCAAGGAAGCTTGCGGGCAGGTTGTCAGGAAGAGCAGAAAAGGCTGCTTGGCAAGGGAACAGCCCGTACTTGAAAAATGGAGGTCTCTTTCAAGTGTCAACCAGGTGGGAGTTCCATCGGGTAACTGCCTGTGTTGTTTCTCTGTGTCATAAGTGTGGGTATATTCATAATTTTGTATGTATTTATTTTGTCATGTTTATGTAGTGCATATTGGAGATGGTGTCCTTTTTGAGAGCTGTATGCAATGTGATTTCATTTTAATGTATTGTAGGAATTCATCACCCGGCCCTCTCCCAGAAAAATGAAATATCCTAGGAAATATTGAAAAGGCAGAATATTTCTCAATGTGAAAAGGAAGAAAAATGTTTTATAAAGAGAGAATAGCTCCCTGTAGCTTCCTGCCTCCACACACTTTGTCAATGGACCATTAAGGCCATGCCAGTCCCTTTACATAATAAAGAGTTCTCCCCTTCAGCTCCAGGAGATGGGATTAAGGCATGATAATATTGGCCCTTTACCCAACTCTCCACATGGCATCTGAGAGCTCAA